GCCATTTCGTTTCCCGCTCTGTAGCGCCGCGTTGGCAGGTAGAATAAACTGTTACTAACGTTTGGTAGAATGTCGAGAGCATTTGGTATAGATTTGCCTTTGATTGCTTGACCAGCCGCAGTGGGCCTGGTGTTTTAGAACGCGAGGATGAGAGTTTAACCCCCCTCCCCCCCTCTTGACATTTTCCTGCTCTGTCCTCTCTGCCGTTTTGGTAGGGCTTTGACAGGGGTGTTCAGGGGACGGCACACCAGTCCATGCTACCCCCCCCCCCTCCCCCCGTAATTTTTTTCACCATGGAATAGAGAGCGAAAAATGACCATTTCAAGGCGGCATCCCCCCCTCCCCCCGTCTTAATCAAGGAGGTGCTCCCTTCTCCCCCGAAAATACTTTTGGCTACGCCCCTTGGCGCTTTAGCAGGGGCTATGGTAACAGAGCTTCAATCATAAGAATTTCGAAACTCACCGTAGGCCCAATGTATCAAAATCCGAACTCGCAGTTGGCCGAACTTGCTGGTGTTCGGCTGATTGTCGCGCATTCTGTTGGCCAAAAAAATAACTGACAGACGCCTCGCGACAACGCGAGCGCTGCGGGCGTCGTGGAGCTACTTGCGGGAAGCGCACGCAGGGGGAAGGAAGGTGTTGATGTCGTATTTCGTATTGCTGCTGCAAGATGGCACGACGATCTGCAGGTCTCCACAGAATCGGACATGGGAATGTACGGGTTTGTCAACGCAGTTTCGCAACTGGTATGATTGAAAACTCTGAGGGTATTGGCTGAACGAAAGGCTCCGTGATTAAGACACGTTTCTCGAGTTTTCCCGCTAGGGGAAGGGCGCATGCGTCATGGAATTGAGAAAAAGAAAAAAAAAAACGATTATCAGTCGTTGCATCACTGTTTGGATGGGGGGCAAAATGCAATATCATTGGTGTTGTTATAAGTTAGGCACATCTTAAAGAACCCCAGTTAGTCAAAATTGCTAATATTCATTTCCTATGTTACATTGAATTTAGAATCTTTTGTCTGATCAAGAAAGATGTTCAATACACACAATTAAATTAGCAAGGTAGCCATAATCATCATCATAATCATTATCATCATATTAAGGTTTACTCCAGGACACAGATCTCTTTCAATGATTGCAGTTTACCCTATCTTATACTCTTCCTAAGATGGATAAAAATGCTGTTTTCTAAAACAAAACATGCAGTGTTCTTGTGCAAAAGCTTTGTATGTTTGATTTCTTATGAGTCATAGGCAGGTAAGATTTATGATGTTAGCTTCAAAATTTTCAGGGCCAATTTTTTTTACTATGTTGCAAAGCTAAACAGCCATTTACTTTTTGTATTTTGTGCTGTTCTGAACTACATTACTATAGCAGTAAAGGAAAAAAAAATACTCTTTTAGATATTAAGACATGACACCAAAGATGATGTCACACTCCGAAATTTGCTCCCATCTTTGGCAACTGAAGCATTTGCGCTTCTAGCACAGTATGGGTTTCCTTATTACAGTGGAATAAATCTCTTGCATTATCTTTCCTGTCCTTGTCACTGATTGTACAGCTCCCTGTATGAGTAATGACAATGAAAGGAGGACGCAACTGTTCATTTTTCCTTATCAACCATCGTACTTTTCTTAAAGCTGCTTGTTTTGTCCCTGTTGTTCTCGCTCCAATGTCTGTGTTTCTTGTGCTGCAGTGTCTCGTAATTATGGATCAACATGCTCAAATCGTCCCTTTAATCTTGCTGAATTAAGGTGTAGCAGGGCATTTCACTAATGTACTTGTAGTAAGCATGTGTTGGTGTAGTGTTTAAAATGCACATTTCAGGCACAGGTGCCCCTTTCCTTGTGGCACATTGAGGAGTTCATTAAGAAGGGAAGCCTGGCTAGTGAATGAGAAGGGGATGCGAATGTGGTCCGATTATGCTCCTACATTATACTCTTGAGAGTAACGTTCAAGTCTCATTTTTTGCCCTTAGAAAATTACTGAACCTAAATAAATGCTTACTTTTGTTGTAGGTAAGCATTTATGCTAATCTAATTTTGTTCAAGTACGTCATTTTGATTTTTTGTAGCTTTACTGTTTCTTTGCTGTTATTTACTGATTGCTGGGTACTTTTAAAAAATGCTTGTAAGTTCAATATTCTTGTTGAGATGTAGGTTAAAAGAGGTGGGACACTGCCTGAGTGCATCAGTAATACACACCTTTAATAGGTAATGTGTGAGAGCCTGAGATTTAGAGCGATGTATTTATTGTCACCCCTGCTGTTCATTATTATTCCTCATGGCGGTGTTGCTTATCTGCACCTAGTAGTGGGCTTCATGAATGCAAAGAATGCCAATAATGAGAAAAAATGTGTGGGTGGTATAAGATGACTTGGGAGCGAAACATATTTGAGATGAAAAGTGCGACTGCAGCTATTTTGAACTTTGTTATATTACTTGAAAGGGCATGCTTTGCGAACAGGTTGCAACATTTGATGTTTGCCGAGACCTGGACTCTGTTATCTTGCTAGTATGTGTGCTCTAAGAAGTTGCTTTGTGCTAATGGTTCCAATTGTCTTTGTTTATTGCTTTACGGCTTGCTGGTCGAGTGAGGAGCACATCAACATTATGGTGCATTAATGCTTATTTACTTCTGAAGTATACTTTCTTCGGAGGCAGCCCTTGGTATCATTTAGTTCGCTGGAATTTTCCAAAACATTTTGCATTTAATGTCTTGTGAAGCCTATACGTTACAAAGTTTTTTGTAATGTGTCCTTGTCATTAACATTTTCACGTTGTGGTGGGCATGAGATTGACACTTGTCACAGCAATTATATTAAAGTATGTCATCAAGTTCATTAAATAGGTGGAAGTAGAGCTTCAGTGCTGTGGCATGTTAAATTGGCAGTAATGCATTGCACTTCATTCCTTTTTTAAAATTTTTTACTGCTTTCTTACTATTGGTTGATGGTACCCACCTATCTTGTTCTAGTCTGCATATTTGATTATGTGTGTTTAATTTATTGTCACATTCTTGATGCTTTACTCTGTGGGTTTGAGTGGTAGAGCATGTAAAACAGACCCTCAGCAAATGGGAATCTGTTAAATGAAACTGCGGCGGAAATGGAACAGCTATCTCTGAAATGATTAGTTATGTACTAGTAGTCTACGCTGCTAGTTATCTCTCAATAAATGGAACTCCTGCTAAATGGAACATTTTTTCCTGGTTCCATCAGCTTCTGGGCAATACAAGGCAATTGTATTCATGGGACTAAAACTGAAGGAATGCACCTTCACTGAGTGCTGGCAGTTTAGAATTTAGATCGTCTTTTTATTCCATTATTTCGTTCTTGAAAAAAAGGAGGATTTTTTTGCTTTTTTGTGAGACAACTATTGAGTTATGCGTGTGGGTGCATCAGCTGTGCCATAGGAAAATGTTCATCCTGCAACAGCATCCGTGCATTTGCACCGCTGGTTTTTGTAACAGCTTTCTTTAGGTTACAGGTTAAGGTTCTGCTTGTTGGCTTGAGGCATGCTCGCCCTTGGTACCGGTAGATGAAAGTGTGAGAGGGCACAAAGAATTGGGTGAGTGGAGGAGCTGCCAGAATGGAGAGCTGTAACAGCTGTTTGCGAGATCTGTCAGAAGCTAGCAAGTGGCAAACCAGAGGCAAAAGAGAGGGGTGAAAGGGAGGTCGCAATGAAAAGCCAAAGACAGTGACAGCTTGTTAGAAACAAGCCTGTCTGGCCAGCTGTTACGGCAGTGACGTGGTTTGGGTACGGTTGATTATATTTTTTTGAATGATAAGCAATCGGCCATGGAAAAATTCGCAGTGAAAAAGTAAGGCTTTTTTGTTTCTTTTCTCACCAAACAGCACAACGTGCAGCTGGTATATTCAGTAGCAAGATAATTTGCATTCTTGTAGATCACAGCGCAGTTCTCAACATGCAAAAGTTCACAAGATTCATGTTTTTTTCTTTTTTGGTCTGGTGGTGCGACAGATTGCTTCTGTCAGTCAGTTTGTGAAGCATTTGTTTTGCTTATCTGGGCTGTCCTTTGTCTTCTTATCATTTTTCCTGATGAAGGGCCTAGTGCTGATCTTATCTTATGGTGTAGTTGCTGTTGGCCGTGACTCTTATAAAACACGTGCCTTTGTTGCATCTACAGATGTGTCTCCATGCCTTTGGTGTGGTGCATGCGTTTGGTGACAGCTACATTCTATGGTATCCAGGCATTTGTGTTATGTCTTCAGTGACTAAACCATGCTAACTTTGTGCATCAGGGTCCTGAAGAGGACAATGATCACTGATATGGGATCGGCATAAGAAACTGAGATTTCATTAATTTTTTGTAAGCTGATATATGTTACTGTTCCTTAAAGCTTACATATGGGAATCTGTGCAATGCAACATTGAAGCAGCAAAGTGTGTAACAATGTTTCTAAACACTGGGGAAGATCTGTTGGACTGCCTGAAATTTGCTCGAGACTTAACAAATATTGTGTGCAGTTTTCTTGCTATGCCCAAAAAGCTAAGCAAATGCCTTATTCACAACATTTAGTCTGGTATACTACTGTACGTTCTGCCGTATGAAGTGCATGATCCTGCAGGCTGTAATGTAATCAGAGCTTGACACTGAGTTGGGCTAGTTGGATGCTAGGGGGTGTGTCTAAATATGAAATATCAACAGATAGGATAGTTATCGAGAATTTTCCTATTTAAATTGATGTGGTTGGATAGAACTAGCAACAAAGATTGAAAAAAAAAAGATCAATACTTAATTTCGAATAGTGCAAACTTGATCTGCATATGCAGCTTATGTGACGGTGTGATCAAGAGGGTTTGAACGATGGAAGCTGCCGGAGCCAACGTTTCCATACGGTGATTGTTATCAAAGCATAGGCTCCATGAATCTCTTAGTGGGACCAATGTTGGATCACCTGTAGCCTCCATTTAGTTGCGTAGAACTGTTGTCTTGTGAGGTTTTTAAGCGTGGACTCTATACTGTCTTTCTGCAGACGCCTTGAGGAAGAGTTGCAAGGCCACGTACGGGGCTCTGCCCACAGAGAGGTCTGTAAGGACGCAGGCAAGAGCTGCTCCCACTGCAGTTCAACGTTCAATCTTCTCTTCAATCGAAAACTGGTGTGTCGGGAGTGCGGCCTTTTGTGTGTCGGGACTGCGCCACGTATGACTCTCGAGACCGGGGATGGTACTGCCGCCTCTGTGAGCAGCAGAGGTAAGCACTTCTGTCTTCACACGTGTCTTACCAAGACAAGAGAAAAAAAAAATTAATAAAAAATTACAGGAAATAAGCTATATATAAAAAATTGAATTGGAATAGCTTAAAGCGCACTGCAATGCTTTTAAAAATTATCGTCAGATGGCTTCATTGAAAAAGCTTTTTTTTTCCATCAACTGACTGCCACAAAAATTTGTGGAATTGGTCAAGCACGACCGTAGTTACAGGGAGCTGTCCCAGACTTGCTCCCACACTTGCCACAAAGTGCTTTTTCTTCGTTTGTCCTTGCGAGCACGCTGACAGCTACACAGGGTGGGGAATGAATGACTACGGGGAAAGAAGATGCATCCCTTGGTCAGCATGCATTATGACCTTCAGCACTTCCTTTTTTTTCTTGTAATGTGCTACTTACTTTCAGTGTGATTCATGAGATGGCATACGTGGGGGCGTTTCATGGCAGCCACGCTAGCTCTGCAACTTACGACGCTCGAATCAGCCAATGACTGTGGACATTGGGTTTATGACGCGGTGATTTGATTTTATGGCATCAATTGTTACGAAAAGAGAGATCGACTTCTAGCTTATTTGGAGAAGTAATTGTAAATTCTAGGTTGTGTATTGCGCTATAATGTTTGGCTCGCGTATTCTGTCCATGTTAAAAAAGCGTTGCAGGGTTCTTTTAAGAGGACTTTAAAGAGAAAAATGTCTTTTTCTGTACAACTGAAGTACCTTTTCACAAGAATGAAAGCACATTCCTTGCTGCAAAAAGACTCTCAGTAAGAGAGAAAATGCATAAAATGAATGTGCACGTGGCAACGCCACATTGAAGTTCCTGCATAAGCTGCTGTGGCATCACTTTTTGACGTCATCTTCCATGGCCTACACAGGTCTTAATGAAAGACGTCGACTTTTGGGGGCCAAAGATTCAAACTGTCAGCTTTCACCAAATTTTGTTGAGCCATTGTGACAAAAACATGAAAAACACTTTGCAATTCATGACATTATGCTGGTTGAGTTTTGGTGCATGATGAAACTTTTAATTTCGGATTTTCTCATATATTAGGGTGTTCTCGCTCCAAATGTCTCAATCGTGGCACTCGACAAAAGTCAGTTTTCCTTAAAAAATCTGAGAAAGTTACACACATATAGACAATGGCTCTACAGTACTATCCTAAAATAATCAGTGGCAAAAATTTTTTGCGCACGAGAGCACCTTTTGAACTTCACGAAAATGTTGTAAAAAAATCAGGTACAAAAAAAAATTGTTATGATTCGACTACTCGTGGCATTATTTCAATACAGGCTTCGTGTTTTTTGGGCGTCATGATTTAATTATAAGACAGTTCTTTATATTATTTTCACACCTTTTTACTTCTTAGCTCGCAGATAAAGTTGAGTAAATTGTAGTGTTGACGGGAATTTTACTGCAAAATATTGATACGTGTATGGAACTGTCGCCCCGCCACAGCTGAATCGGCACCCAAATGAAGAAGACGACAAAGTGGTTGTTGTGGGTTGGACTCTCGAGCTTCCCCCGTTGGCCTGCATGACTGTGCGCTCTTTAAACCGTTAGGAAGACCAGCTCTCAGTGAATAAATCTTCCCCGTAACATGTTTTGGTGGAAGGTGTGGGGTCTTCACACAACCCGGTTCTGGAACTCCGCAGTGGACGCCAGCTTTGTCCAGCCGCGATGCCTGAAACTGGCACTCAGGCCTCGCCATCCGCGCCGGCTCCATCACCTGCGATTTCCCCCATCTTCTTGACCTTGGCACGTTTTCCGGGACGAACAGCACGGACGTCGAAGAATGGCTCGCATTATTCGAGCGCGTCAGCAAGCACTACAGGTGGGATGAAACGCTTATGCTGGCAAATATTCTATTCTACCTACAAGGTACGGCACACGCCTGGTATGAGACGCATGAAGAGGAATCAACCAGCTGGGACACATGCAAGCAAAAGCTTCGCGATTTGTTTGGTCGGTCAGTTGCTCGTCAGATGGCAGCCAGGCAGGAACTCGCGTCGCGTGTTCAATCATCGCCGGAGTCGCACGTCATGTACTTCCAAGACGTACTGGCACTGTGTCGGAAGACTGACAAAAACATGTCCGAGGCAGACAAGATCGGCAACGTGTTGAAAGGCATTGCTGATGATGCTTTCAACATACTAATGTGCAAGAACCGCACCACTGTCGACTCCATCGTATCTGAATGCCAACGATTTGAACAAGCTAAAAGCAGGCGAATAACCCACCACATCGCGAGACTACCAAACACTGCTGCGACTTGGTCTTGCAAGGATTCTGCAGCACCCCGTTCACTTGCGCCTCTTGCCACTATCATAAGGATTGTTCGCCAGGAGCTGGAAGCCATGGCACCCGCTTCTTATCAGCCCCCTATGCAAGACAACTGGGCAACAGTCTCGCTTATTCAAGCCGTCGTACGTCAGGAGTTTGCTAACCTGGGCGTCCAGGTTCCCCAGCCCGCCAGACTTATGCCGCAGCCCATGAGCACTCCCGTCCGCAACGCTGACCACCACTCTGCTCCACTTGTCGCTGCGGCAGCTTCGACTCCTCGGTTTCCACCACGCTACTGAAATCCATCTGAGTGGCGCACGCACGATGCTCGACCCATCTGCTTTTCTTGCTCTCGAGTTGGGCACATCTCCCGCCATTGCCGCAACAGGTGGTATTTCCGGCCAAGCTTTCCTAATGTCGGCCGCCGTCAGGACCGTGGACACTATTCGCAACCCGGTTTTCCAGATGACCATATTCAGAACCCTTCAGCTCGCCGTTCATCTCCATGCTCCGAACCGTCCTACGCTGACGTCGTCGCCCAAAGAAACTGGTCTAGCCGCTCGCTCTCACCTCAGGGTCGGCCGTCACGCTCCCCTCAACGCCGCCGCTCTCCGTCACCGGCTTATACTGGCCATTCCCCGGGAAACTGACGAGTGCATCTCCTGGAGGTGGCGCTGCGTTGACGACTTGGAACGAAAACCCTCAACCGGCTACAAATTCAAGACGCAATTTACTTTGGGTGTTCGTTGATGGCCACGCCGTTACTGCTCTAATTGACACTGGTGCCCAAGTAACTGTTATGAGTTCTACACTTCGATCTCGGCTAAAAAAGGTTCTCACACCGGCTATATTCTCTACTGTTCGAGTTGCCAACGGAAGTCGAACATTGGTGCTTGGTATGTGCACTGCCCACGTTACTGTTGCTGGCCACCACACTTCCGTTCTCTTTGCAGTCGTCGATGCTTGCCCACACGACGTCATCGTTGGAATTGACTTCTTAACCGCCCACTCCGCCCTCATCGATTGTTCTACCGGTATCTCACGGCTCGAATTGCCTTTGTGCTCCGATTTTACTCCTCCAAGTCGCACTCGGCTACGATCCGTGGAGTCTCTATGGCTGCCGCCCCAGGCTGCTATGTACATTCCTCTGTCACCCTTCCCGTCCGTTCCTGATGGAGACTATCTGGTGGCTCCCCTCATTGATTTGACCCTTACGCACCACATCACACTACCACATACTATAGTGGTTGTTGCTAACAACATGGTGCTACTTCCAGTTCTGAACTTCTCTACGTCGACCCAAGTTCTTCCTCTAGGCATCACTTTAGCCGATCTTTCCATCCTTGATGAATGTTCGATTTGTTCTTTTACCTCTGATACTAAGACGATGCGGCGATGGCGTAGTGGTTAGAGCATCCGCCTCGCATGCAAGAGGTCCGTGGTTCAAATCCCGGTACCGCGCAGTTCCCAACCGGATTAAAAAAAAAAATCCGTGTGTTGATGGAACTGCATTAAGAGGCCTGGGGTGCGGCCTCACCGGCAAACACCGCCGAGAACGCACTCCCTCACCAGAGAAGGATTGGCCACCCTGGTGCAGTATGTGGCCACTACCTCCCACATGTTTACGTCAAATAACTCACGGCCCTCAGTCCCCAGCAGCTGCGAAGCAACTGACCACGGCGGCGGTCAGATCTGCAACGCAGCAGAGGGTGCTAAGAATCTCTGGATCCGGACAGGCCGCCATTGGAACCTGATCTTGGCAACGTTTAATGCTAGAACCTTATCTAGTGAGGGAAGTCTAGCTGTACTATTCGAGGAGCTAGAGGGTGTTAAATGGGATATAATAGGGCTCAGTGAGGTTAGGAGGACAGATGAGGCCTATACGGTGCTACAGAATGGGCACGTCCTTTGCTACAGGGGCTTGGCAGACAGAAGAGAACTGGGAGTGGGGTTCCTAATTCACAGAAACATAGCTGGCAACATAGAGGAATACTATAGCATTAATGAAAGGGTGGTAGGTATCGTAATTAAACTGAATAAAAGATACAAGATGAAGGTAGTACAGGCTTACGTGCCTACATCCAGCCATGATGACGCTTCAGTTGAAAGCTTCTATGAAGACGTGGAATCGGCAATGAGTAAGGTAAAAACACAGTATACTATAGTGATGGGCGACTTTAATGCAAAGGTAGGGAAGAAGCAGGCTGGAGACCAGGCAGTAGGAGATTATGGCATCGGTACTAGAAACGCCAGAGGAGAGCTACTAGTAGAATTCGCAGAACGCAATAATTTACGGATTTTGAATACCTTCTACCGAAAACGAGAAAACCGCAAGTGGACATCGAGGAGCCCTAATGGCGAAAATAAGAACGAAATAGACTTTATAATGAGTGCACACCCTGGAATCATGCAGGGTGTGGAAGTGATTGGCAAGGTACGATGCAGTGACCATAGAATGGTACGGTCTCGAATTCGCCTAGACTTGAAGAAGGAACGGCAGAAACTGATACGCAAGAAGCCAATAAATCAGCTAGCACTGAGAGGGAAAGTACAGGAATTCAGAGTGTCGCTGCAGAACAGGTACTCGGCTCTTAGTGAGGAAACCAACCTTAGCGTAGATACAATGAATGATAATCTGACGAGTATCGTTACGGAGTGTGCAGTGGAAGTTGGAGGCAGGGTAGTTAGACAGGACACTGGCAAG